TACATCTATTTTTTTTTTAAACATATTTGTAAAGGGTGAATTTCGAACCCAACCCAAAGAGAAGGGAATGCACCGGTAACTATTACCACTAGGTCGCAGGGGCGGGTGCATAAAAATATACATCTATCATATTTTAACACACAATATAAAAAAAAAAAAAAGGGGTGGCCCATTAGTTTAAACGAAGACATCATAGCAGATAGACAAGATTTACAAAAATGAATTTTTTGAGGTGAGAGCCGTGGGCCGACTGGAAGTACAGCACTACAGCCCCCTGTTTTAGTAGAGATCCTACGTTAATTCACTGTCATCACGATTCAATCTCCATCGCAGTCATGTCAAATAAGGTTTACGCTCCTCAAATCGGTCCTGTTGCCAGTATTTTGTTTACAAATTTAGATTTTATACTAAGTAATTGAGAAAAATTATAATATTGTGTTAATTAAAAATTTAAGAATGGTAATAAAAAATTTAAATATTATTAATAAATCGCATGCTACAACAATGGACTCTTTTTGTTTATAAATAATGGCTCATTTTTTTACTTTTTATTCACATTTAAGATTTAGAAACAATTCTTTTTTTTTTAAGTAAAGAGATATTTTTGTAATAAAATAATTAATTAAAATAAATAAATAATGATAAAATTAAGGTAAGAAGAATTTTTTGTTTACCTTAAAAATAAAAAAAAATTAATTTTAGACAAATTTTAAGTAAAAAATTTATTTTAAGATATTAAAAATATTTAAATAATTTTATATATAATTTTAATATTTACAATACCAAAACATTTTAATTTTTACTTTTCTCCTATGTCAAAATGTTAGGATGAGTTTCGCATTAAAAATATGGCTATTTTTCATCTCCATTTTCATTAGAAAATGAAAATTGAATAGAGAACTTATTTGTTATTTGACAATTAAAATAATTTTATAATAAAGTATTACTTATTTTGATATTATGTTGTGAATACTGAATATTCAAATAGGTTTAAGTACTATTTTGGTCCCTCAACTTTTCACTTTGACACCAAAATTGTCATTCAACTTTAAAAAGTATCAAAATTATCCTTAAACTTTCATTTTCGATACCAAAACCATCATTCCGTCAGTTAAATGGACAAATGGCACGTTAACTTGCTAGCAAATCAATTTTTTTTCTTAACTAATGACATGGCACCTTTTTTTATGATGAGTCAGCATTTTATTTAATTTAAAAATAATGATTTTTTTTCCATCCATGTCATCTCTTCTTCCTCTTTCACTTTCTCTCTCTTGTCACTTCTTCTTCCTCTTCAAATCAAACCCAGATCTGGGTTTTTCTTAAACCCAGATCTGGGTTTTTCTTAAACCCAGATGACTCTTTCGATACCACTAAAATGCAATAAAAGAGAAACTAAATCACAATCTAACAATAAAACCTCCATGTCATCTCTTCTTCCTTTTTCACTTTCTCTCTCTCTTGTCCCTTCCTCTTCCTCTCCAAATCAAACCCAGATCTGGATTTTTCTCAAACCCAAATGACTCCTCTGACACCACTGAAACTCAACAAAGAGAAACTAAATCACAGTCTAAAAAAAAACCTCAAATACGTATTCGAATTTCACCAAACCAAGTCAAATACATGGATGCGAATAAATAAAAAAGAAACAGTATCGAACCACCGAAGACTCGATATGTAGCAAACCAGAACCCAAAATACCGGTGAAATCAACACAAAAACCAGTGAGAATTGGTTTAAAGGGAACCAAAAATTCTAGTTCCACCAAGACAAAGAAAATTAGCAAAATCGGGACCAAGAATCAACCACAATAGTTCAAAAAAATAGAACAAAAACCACAAGAGTTCAAAAAAAATAGAACAAAAATAAAGCTCTCATTAGTGGCTAGCTCGTTGTCCGAGCCTACAGTGAGCCAGATCTCGACGCATGTTACTGTCGAAGTCGGAGCTGACAAAGCTAGATCCTGACGCGACTGAGCCTACAGTGAGCCTGCGACGGTGCATACCAGCTGTTGCTGATGCAGAGCCGTGCAAGGGCCATGACGCTAGGCTTCAAGCTCTTCTTCACAACAGTATCCGCTGATTCAAAGGAGAAACGACGAGTGAGGAGAGAAGCGAAGGTGGATGGAGAAATGTAGAGTTTATCTCAAGCCTTGATCTGGGTTTGAAAAACCCAAATCTATGTTTGTTTTGATGAAGAAGCAGCAACAGCAGCAGGTCAAATTGATGAGTGGAAGAAAGCATGGAGGCTTACAAAAAAAACCAAAGCAATCTCCACTTAATGAGTTTCCATCATTGGGCAAATTTGTGTTTGTTTTGGAGAGGAAGAAAAATCGATAAGAGAGAGAAAAGAATAAGAAAGAAGATGAAGTTTTTATTTTTTTGTCTTTAGTTTTGAAAAATTATGAAATAATAATAAAAAAATGTTAAATTTTCTTACCTGTAATTTACACATAGTTAAAATTAAAAGTTTCAATGATTTTGTGGCAAGATAACGTGCCACCTGTCACTTAACTGACAAAAAGACTATTTTGGTACCGAAAATGAAAGTTTAAGGATAATTTTGATACTTTTTAAAGATGAGGGACAATTTTAGCAACCAAAATGAAAAGTTGAGGGACCAAAATGGTGCTTAAACCATTCAAATATACTAGGGTTTTTGGCATATGTTAGAGACAAAGGTATCATGTATGAGATCTTGCACAAATACGTTGTATGAGTGGAAATAATAATTATTCAACATGAGACATTTTGTGATGTAAAACGTAATTCAACATGAAATTGGAATTTTGAAAAAAAAAAGAAGAAAAAAGAAGTGTCAATTTTGACTTCAGTGCTTTCTTATTTATTTAAGAAACAAAGTCACTTACCATAAGCTTACTAAATTATCCACAATTTTATTTTAATAGAAAACGAGATGGATATGTTGTTTGTAAGTGGAGAATTTGATACATTAAATAGGAAAGAAGTGTATACAAGTTTAAGTGGAGACCTAATTGCATTAGATCCAAGTATAAAAGTTAAAGAGGTCAAATACTAGATATGAATATGTTATCTTAAAATAGAAATAATTTTCATTTGCCAACTTATTTTCAAAATTTTCTATTTTTTAATAAACATGAAAAGAAAATTTATTTTCTAAAAAAAGAATAAAATTGAAAAATAAAGAAAGTTTTCTCTTCCTAAACACACAAATTTCCAGCTTATTGTCTCGTCTCTTTTCTGCCATTGATTTTCAGATTATTCATCTCTTTCTTTTTTTTTCTTTTTTTTTTCTTTTTTTTATGTTTCACTTCAACTTTACCCCAATTAAAATTTTATATTCGGTGGGTCTATTTACTTCCTCTTTTTAGTGGTTATAGTTAATTTATAAGAAAAATGTGTATTAGTCCTAAACACTCAAGGAATTAGAGTTTTAATCATTAATTTTTTTGAAAATAAAAAATGATACGTATTAATCTCATGTATTATACTTTATTACTAATTAACAAGAACACTTATTACATGCACTTGGCCCTTGTGACCTAATGGTTAATACCGTTGAAAAAGTGCATATCTTTCTCTCTTGGGCAGGTTTTGAACTCGTTCCATGACAAAAGATTCCAAAAAAAAAAAAAAGAACACTTATTACATAATAATTTTTCCTTTTGTTTTCAAAAGACCACATAACAACTACTACTAGTATTTTACGTATTAAAATGCGTTAATTATATTTTTATTAATTTGAATATAAAATATAAAATTAATGTTATTTTCAATATGAATTATATTTATCAATTGAATTGATAGAATTAAAATTAATTTTTATTTTTTATAATAATTAATAAAAAAATATGCAAATTAATATAATTTTAATTAGATTAGGCACTTGCATATAAAATTTTTTAAAAATAAAAAAGTATATATCAGTTTCGACTTCTAAAATAATTAAAATTTCAACCTTAAATTATATTTTTTATTTAATTACAAGTCAATTTAAAATTTTATTTTATTAAATATTAATATTTAGATTTGAAAATTGATTATATTAGAATATATAATTAATTTCCAAATCTAGCTACTAATATTGAATATGATGAATTTTTAATTTTAAATTGAGATTTTGATTTCTAAATATAGATTAAAACTTTAATTTTTTTAGAAAAGTGAAAACCCTTCTTAGCCCCTCAAAGGTACTCCAAAATAGCATTTAATCCCCTGTACAAAAAATGAAGTGAATAAGCTTTTTTACTCCATTAATAATGAAAATAAGCCTCTTTCATTTATAGATATTAATGCTTTCAAGGTAATATTAAATATGAAATACTCTTTGACCCGTTTGTGAAAATGGTTAACTTATATGGTTAATAAAATTAGAGGGTTTATCTACTTTATTTTTAATTTGGAGGCGTAAATACTATTATGAGATAAATCTTGAGGCTTAAGGAGGGCTTTTACCTTTCAAAAATAAAGACTCATGCGCATTTATTGTTTTAAAAAATAATTTAGTGCTTTAATTCAAAACACATATTTGCACGCGCCTTCGCAGCGAGTGGAAGGAACAGGAGAGCATGATATTTATTTTGTCCCTATATGACCAAGTGAAATGAACTCTATTATCGGTTATCACCGCCTGCGAATCTGAATAGCAAGCGAAGCGGTGAAAAACATGGCGAAAGAGCTAGATGGATACAATTTCGAGCAGAGGCATGGGAAATCGCGGGTCAGAGTGGCTAGGGTTTGGCAGAGCAAAGACGGCCGCCATTCGATGGTTGAGTGGAACATCAATATCAGTTTGCTCTCCGATTGCCTCGCCTCCTATGTCCGCGACGACAACTCCGATATTGTTGCCACCGATACCATGAAAAATACCGTAAATCCTCTCTTCCATTTTGTGCTTATTTTCGGATTGATGGATCATACTTAATCTTAGTACGTTGACTGACTCTGTTTGGTTGCTCGGAAATTGGAAGTAAAGAATGGAAAAATCTAGAGAAATGAAAAGAAAAAAACCAGATGAATCTAAGTAAACGGACCGTTGTTTTCATCACCATAAACTTTTTCGATTATCTAGATAAACGGTTCTAGTTGTGAAGTATTTTAACTTTTCAAGAAGAAAAATTTTGCTTCTTAGTGACCCTGTATTTGGATTGACCTTTAAATTATGATTTTCGCCAATCATACAGCACTATGTATTTCCAGAAAGTTTGAACCTTGTTCTTTACATTACTGCTATCCTTTGCTGTTGTTGAAAACAGTATATTTGGAGGTGTAATTGAATTGCGATACAGGTTTATGCAAAGGCAAAAGAATGTTCTAAGGAGCTTTCAGTTGAGGAATTTGCAATTTTACTGGGCAAGCACTTCACGTCATATTACCCACAGGTGATGCTTCAAGTTCTCCATCCTTTTTAATTAATCTTGTTTTTATAAGTTGAAAGATTCGGTCTTATTTCTATATTCTGGATTGGTTTATTTACTAATTTTTTGAGAGTAAGAACCTACTTTAGTCTCTTCCTTTTATGAAGGCAATACTAAAGGTTCTAAGAAGTTCTTTTTGTGAGAAGGAGAGAGCTCGACTTGTTGGCAATTAGCATAATTCATTTCATGACCATAGCTTTCATTCATGTTTACCAGTTCATTTAACTCCCTATGTCAATTTGGTAAACCAAATGCAATAGTATTATAAAAATAGTCATAAGTTATAATATATTTATGCAATTGTAAGTCTTATTTATATAAATTTTCAACTATTGATTTATTTAATAATAGATCTCAAAGCCTTTGGTTCGGAAATCGAAGGCTGATAATTTCTATAAGACTTATGTATGTCTAAGTGGATTTTCCTTTTGAAAATCAAATAAGTGTCCTCTGTTTGTAGGTTACTTCTGCTATGGTAAAGATAGTGGAAAAGCCATGGGAACGCGTACACATAGATGGGCAGCCACATAATCATGGTTAGTTTTCCTAATTATGTAGATGGAGAATATAGTATTATGACAAAATTCAAGCTAAGTTTCTTCTAAAGATCTGTATACTATGAATCATCTTTCAACCCTCTTTGAATGGCATGGTTTTCTTCTTTCCTTTTGGTTTTGTATGCATCTAGAAAGCTGTTAACTATTTTGGCATTTTAATGGATTTTAATGTTAATAAGTAAGAGAAAAGCTGGTGGTAAATGAAATCTCTACAAGGATCTTTCCCTGCAGCCAGGGTTGCCCAGCTGCATTCTGTTTTCCAACTTGATCCGGCTATCTCTATGTGTTTGATTTGGCTAACTATAAAGTTGACAGCAAGTTCTACTGAATATCTTGTTGTCTCATTTGTGAAGGTTTCAAACTTGGGTCTGAGAAGCATACCACTGAGGCAATTGTCCAGAAATCTGGTGTTCTACAGCTGACTTCTGGCATTGAAGGATTAGCTCTACTCAAGACAACTAAGGTAAGCTTATTGCTCCTTTATGTTTCATTTAACGTCAGTCAGCTCACCTTTTTGAAAAGTTCCTCTTTTGCTTTAGCAGGATGCAAGAGAGAACTTTTCAAATTGTTATGTCCTCGATTTTTGCTATTTTAAAAGCGCTGGATAAAGTATTCTGACAATTTCTTTGCTTTTTCTTTGTGTCAATCAGTTCCATGTATTATAAATTCACCCATACATTATACAAACTATAACTGTTGTTGTCTAATCAAATTAAACTTTATTGATTGTTCTTTGTTTTTACAATCAATTGCAGTAGAGAATTGCAATATTGTATATCACTCCGATAATTTTCAAAAAGAAAGACAGAGAAATGTCAAGTTCTGGTTCTGGTTTCAGTTAATTACTGTACTTTGAATTTTTTCCCACTTGTTTTGGTTTGTCTTAAGTGAATATTTAGGTTTAGTGCTTCATATAAAACCCTCCATTTTCCATTTCTAAAGGGAACACGTTTCTTTCTCCTTTTTCTTTTTGCTTTGCCGATTATTCAATTTTCCTGGTATTCCATGAACAGTCTGGCTTTGAGGGTTTTATTAGGGACAAATATACAGCTTTGCCTGAAACAAGAGAAAGGATGCTGGCAACTGAAGTTACTGCACTGTGGAGGTATGTTTCTCTAAATGTTATTAATTTGATCCAAGGGTATAAATAGCATGAAAGTCAACTTGTTACCAATCCAATGTAATGCTTTTGAGCATGAAGATCAGTTGAGGACTGTTTTAGGCTAGAACCATTTTATCTTTTTTCTGGTTATGGTTTGGTGCTCTTGCTATAATATATCAACATTGTTATAGGTACCCTTATGAATCTATCTTAAGCATCCCACAAAAGCCACTTTTCAATGAGAGATATCTGGATGTGAAAAAAGTTTTGATGGACACTTTCTTTGGTCCTCCAAAAGAAGGGGTATATAGCCCATCTGTTCAGAGTACTCTTTTCCATATGGAGAAGGCTGTTCTTAGCAGGTTCTCTCTCTCTCTCTCTCTCTCTCTCTCACAACAGCACACTTATGCACATAGCACATTGTCATTTGCACAGAGTCAGGTAATTCTCAATGTCTTGCTTTTGATGATTTTGGTCTTCAAGAGTTAATATTCATCATTTGTATTGTGTTTTCAGATTTCCTGACATATCAGGCATTCAACTGCAAATGCCAAATATCCATTTCTTGCCGATTAATTTATCAAGCAAAGAAAATGGGACTATAGTAAAGGTATAATTCCTTGTCTACTGTTATCCAAAAGAAATTAGTAACCTCATTTGAGGGGATTCAGCTTACCCATTTGCGGTATAGTATAAGTATATATGAGCCCTACTCAAATAAAAGAATGATTTTAATGGAAAATATGAGAAGCAATTATTATGTAGTTAAGAGAGATTCTGTACTGTAATGCTGAACTTTATGTGGGGATTGTGAAGCATGTCTTGGTCCTTACTGATAATTGATGATGCTATGATGGAATCTGCAGTTCGAAGATGATGTCTATTTACCAACGGATGAACCTCATGGATCAATTCAAGCTAAACTGACCCGCTTCTGGTCAAAGATGTAGAGGTCCTTCCACATTGTTGTATGTGCTGCTGTCGTGAGAGTCTCCCTGCTTGTTCATTCTCAAAATAATGGGCTGCTCTACCTTCTACTTTTACATGACATGATTACAAAAATGATGATATTAATTTGGATAGCTTGGTTGCAACTTTTTATGTCAAACAATGTTGATCACAGGACCGCCTCTTGTATGATGGCGTAATAAATTGAGAGCACTCAATTGTGAATTATTGTTTTTCTTTATATATATATATATAATTTTTTTTTACATTAAGTATTTTCAAATTTATTTTTATGTGTCTCAAAAGTTTTTTTAAACCTTTTAAAAAGTACATTCTCACGTAAACCTAATATAAACCTTACCCTTAGTTTGGATTGATGAAATTGGAGGGAAGAGGAGAGAGGGAAGATAGAGATTTCTCTTTGTGATGTTTGGGTTATTAATTTTAAAGGAGAGGGAGGGGTATGTAATCCCCTTCACTTTCCTCTTTTTAATCCTTTCAAATTGGAAGGATTTGGGAGGATTGGTTTTATATATTTATTTTTTAAAAATTGTTTTAAGAAATAAATATATAAAAATATTTTATTTTAATTATTTTTTTAATTAATAAATTTTAAATTTTTTATTTTATTTTATTTTATTTTTAAAAAATTATTTAATTAAATAAAAATATTATACTTCCTCCTCCTCTACTTTTATTTATCCAAACAAACTTTATATCAATTATTTCTTTCTATTCACTTCTCCTTCCTTTTCTTCCCCTTCCTTCCCTTTATTAATTTTTATCCAAACATAATATTCAGTTATTATTGGTGATTATGGGCTGCTGTGAAGTAAAAACCCATTAAAGTGAATAATTTTTGCGCTTAATATATATAGATATATATATATGAACAACCCTCATATTCTTTTTATTTGACTTTCTATGGTTTTGCTTATTTATCTCTATGTGCGTCATTGACAATCGTTTGTAAACTACCGGCCTTCGCAATGTGGTGGGTGTAGTTTTATTATTATTTTTTATTAAATTAAATATGACATTTAAAAGTCCATTCGATTATTTTGAATTAAAAAAAAGGATTTGAAAAAACAGATAAACAATCATGTTAATTTAGTTTAAAAAAAGTAATTTTTTAAGACAAAAACCGAGGGTAATATAATTGATTATAATACAAATGTTCGTCAGTTCCTTTGCAACATTCCTGGGGATTTTTTTTTTTTTTGAGATATTTTGTTTGGAAAGTAAAGTAATCAATTATTAAAAAATAATCAATTATATCATTTATAATCCGTTCTACTCTCTCTGTAATCAAATATAAATCCAATATAATCAATTATATTTTTATTATAATTAATTGTATTATAATTCAATTTTTGTGCTAGAAATATTACTTTATATAGCCAAGTTAATGTAATTTTTAGTTAACTTCTTTAAATTTTTTACTCAGAAAAGTGATTAACCAAACATGGCTTTAGAGATTGTTTGATAAAATTCAAAATATCTATTTTAAAAATAATATTTTCACTTATAAATTTAAAATTCTTATTAAAAAACATTTTAGTTAATTTTTAAGTAAATTTTTAGTAAGTTTTGAAAAAAAAAAAAACCACACCCATATTTTTTCAAAACTTAGTTAAAATTTACTTTAATTTCTTTAAAAAAATTTCTTCTTAGAAATTTTATATTTATAAGAAATAAATAATAATTTTAAAATAAATACTTTTTAAATTTCCTCAAACACCTTATTACATAGGAATGCATTCACTTTTTTGCATTGTTGTGATTTTTTAAGAGCATGGTGTCTTCATTAAAAAAAAAGAAAAAAAAATAACAGGGGCTTAAAATTAGGCCAACCAATTTTCTAAGAACTAAGAAAAATAATTTTCCTCTTCTTGAAAATTCGTTAAACTTTTTATTAATTCTTTTTATCAAGGTATTCATAGAACATTTATTTATTGGGCGAAACAAAATATTAAGGCCTGTTGGTTTAACTTGTGAGAGTTTTTGTTTTTTAAATATTATTTATAAGTAATAAATTTAAATTTTTATTAAAAAAAATTTAAAAATTATTTTTTAAAATAAAAAATAAATAAAAAGAGAGTTTATGAAAAATTTAAATTTGAGATTTTTGAATTTTTATTATTTGAGGTTTTTTAAGATTAAAAAAATTTAAAAATATAAGTTTTTTAAAAGAAAATTTAATCCTATAAAAATAGTATAAAAAAAAAAACTTAAGCTGTAAAAACCAACCCAAACATGCCTTAAAATATGGAGAAGTTAGTTTGGTAATTTGCGCTAAAGCATCAGGAGCACCGGTTTCTAGACGCTTCTGTTCCGCTTCCCTTGTCCGTCTCTCGTCCCTTCCAACTGTCCCCTTTCCGACGATCACCCGGGGCCGGCCAATTTCTGGTATTCTCTCTTATTGCTTTTACTGCGTTTTCAATTACTCCGAAGTCCGAACGTTTTTTTTTTGATCTTCTGACTTGTACATACAAATTTGTAGTATTTCCAAAGGCATTCAAATCGAAAGACACCCCATGAACCAAAGATTTAAACTTTTTGTGTTCTATTTCTTGTCCATCCTAGTTCTCTTTCTAGCAGTCTTCTTCAGTTTCACCAAGACAGACTACTACAAAATCCACCGCCTGAAATTTACCCTCACCTCACACCCCAGTCTCTCACAATCCCTTTTATCATTTCTTCACCAAACCCCAAAATCCCACATTTCAAATCCCATTTCCAAGTCCTCTCTCTGTGTTCTATGGATGGCTCCCTTTCTTTCTGGAGGTGGGTATAGCTCAGAAGCTTGGTCTTACATTCTAGCACTCAATGAACATATGAAAATGAAAAAACCTGGAATTCCTAGGTTCAGATTGGGCATTGAACAACATGGTGATCAAGAATCCCTAGAATTTTGGGAGGGGTTGCCTCAGGATATCAAGAAGTTGGCTTCTGAGCTTTACCAAACTCAATGTAGAATGAATGAGACCATAGTGGTTTGCCATAGTGAGCCAGGTGCTTGGTATCCTCCACTGTTTCAAACACTCCCCTGTCCTCCAACTGGTTATGGTGATGTCTGGTTTGTTATTGGGAGGACCATGTTTGAGACTGATAGAGTGAATCCTGAACATGTTAGGCGCTGTAATAGGATGGATTCTGTTTGGGTTCCTACTGACTTTCATGTGTCTTCCTTTGTTCAGAGCGGGGTTGACCAATCCAAGGTTGTGAAAGTTGTTCAGCCTGTTGACGTCAAGTTCTTTGATCCCTCCAAGTATGAGCCACTGGATCTTGCTTCCATTGGAAATTTGGTTTTAGGAGTAAAAACCACAATTTCAGATTTGAAAAAGAAATTTGTATTCTTGAGTGTCTTTAAATGGGAGCATAGGAAAGGATGGGATGTATTGTTGAAGGCATACTTGAAAGAGTTCTCAAAGATTGATGAGGTCGTTTTGTATTTACTGACTAACCCTTATCACTGTGATCGAGATTTTGATAACAAGATTGTGGAATTCGTGGAGGATGCTGAAATGGAAAAACCAGTTGGTGGTTGGCCTCTAATTTATGTTATTGATACTCATATATCTCAGATTGATTTACCACGGATGTACAAAGCTGCTGGTGCATTTGTGCTTCCAACCAGAGGGGAAGGGTGGGGGAGGCCTATCGTGGAAGCCATGGCAATGTCTTTGCCTGTAATAGTAACTAATTGGTCTGGTCCAACAGAGTATTTAACTGAGGAGAATAGCTATCCATTGCCAGTGCAGAAAATGAGTGAAGTAATGGAAGGTCCGTTTAAAGGGCATTTATGGGCTGAACCTTCTGTTAGTAAGCTTCAAGCTCTTATGAGGCATGTAATGAACAATTTTGAGGAAGCCAAGGCCAAGGGAAGGCAAGCAAGGGAGGACATGATCAAAAGGTTTGCTCCAGAGATTGTTGCAGGGATTGTTACAGGTCACATACAATCTATAGCGACAAGATGATATAAATTCTCATGTAATTTTTCGTTTATTTACAGAACGTGTGATAGATGATAAATTGCAAGTTTGAAGATTTTATGATGAATATTGTTGGTGTTGCAACAGTGTCTCATTCAGGAGTGAGTTTGTCACATACATTGCTGGTGTTAGATTCAGTTTCAGCATTATGCATTAAAGTCATTGTTACCTGCTTCATTTCTTAATTTGTCAATCTTCTTTGTGATATAGGTGTATGGCCATATAGCTTTTTGTAAAAGGATTCATTCCCTTTGATGAGGGAACAAGATGTTGAGATTAATGAAAAAGAATGTCCAAGTAAAGAAGCTGCTGTTTCAAGTTTGAGTTATTTTGACTAATTCAAGATAAGCTTGACTAATATTATCAAAGCTGATAACAAGACATAACCCAAATTGTGGACGCTGTGTTCCACAAGATTTGAAGTGTAAGGCAAACTTAGTTCAACATGATAATATTAGTTGAGGTGGGGAGAAAAAACTGCCGAGACTTCCTTGTAGACATTTTTCTTGAAATCCACTGCCTGCAAGAAAATGGGAGTTGGAAAACAACGAATAAATCCAAGGAAGAGAAAAAATTTATCTTGCAATTGAAACAATCTAACAAGAGAAAGGGTTGCTCACATGCTCTATTATTTCCTCTGGTGACATCCATGACCACTCACCAAACTCAGGTTTCTCAGTCCCATCACCTACAAGATTGATTTCTTCATCCTCCCCAGTGAATTTGAGAAGAAACCTGTGTTTTTATAGTTGTCATAATCTAATTAGATTAAACTCCAAACATATGCAAACCACGAGGCTTGTATCAAAAAAAAAAAGAACGGTTAAGCACTGGAGCACCATCTCTAGCAAGCATTTAAGAACATTATCCGTATGACTACTTTCCACCATACTCCAATTCAGATAAAATGATATGGTTACTTTGTCTAGTTCAATAAGATTAAGAGCAAATTCAATAACAAAAGTTTAGAGTAGTGTAGTGGAAGTATAACATGGGTTATACTGATAGAGAGTTGAAACAATTATTTGGTCATCTTCCAGATTTCTATCCAACCGGATACAATGCAACCAAGTTCAGCATTTGAGGCCTCAGTCATGTAACAAGTTTAACTCCTTTTGGGCAAACTCAAGAACTCACCACTTTTGTGCTTGACCTTTCCAGTCTGACCCCCATTGAACTTTAAGTTTTTCCCTGACTTCTGGTGGGAAGTCATACGTCAACCAATAGGGCACCTGCACATGAAACCCAACCAATGAACTCTCTAAACTAACATATGAAACAGGAATGCCTAAATTGCAGGATAAGAAACATGGTGCCCAAACCTCGACCAAATGTTGGATTGGTGATAGTTAAGGACTCATTAGCCACTATAGCGCAATTGGAAACAAAATCTTAACAAGACATTGATATATGAGGAAAACATATAATCCAGAAGCTATTTATATGTTAGAGTTTAGGACGCTAAGCATGTCAGACCAACGAAAAATTATCTTAACAAACCTCTGCAATAACTTCTGCTGAACTCACACCAGTTTCTTCCTTTAATTCTCTGATGGCTGCAGCTTTTGGATCTTCATCTTCTTCAATCCCACCCTATTTAACATAGTTGTATGGAAAAACATTATTAGATGTAAAATTTTAACATTCTTCATAAGCCATGGCTACAACCAACATCTAGATCTGTTAAAAGAAGCATTAAAAATTCTTGATGTTCTCCTCTCCTCCCCATTCCATTGTACATAAGTTTAACAGATAAAGATGAACAGGACCACAAATATACACTCCTGTAAACATGTTTCCACCAAAATGATTCATACAGGTGTACCGCACACTTGAATCTTTATAATATGATTCAAATCCAAGGTCGTTACTAATGAACAATACCTTCAAGGATGAAACTTTTTGATCTTTTTACATCAATGTGATCTCAAGATCAAGCAATGAGCTGAAACCAATGATTTATCTTTTTTTCCTACATTTCAATCAAAGATCTGAACTTTCTTTCTTACCCTAATAAAACGCATTAGAAAAACAATGATCAGTAGTTATCAGCTCAAAGATATGAGCTTTTTTCTACATTTACTCCTTGAATTTTCCAACCAGAACCAATCAAACATAAAAGTACAGTACAGTAATGCCTTAAACAGAAATTCCCAGAAACACACCAATAAGAAAGCAATCAATCAGAATAACTCTGAAAACATTACCTGGGGCATTTGCCAAGCATTGGGTATATCCAGCCTCGAAGCAGCAAAAATCTATAGAACTCAAACAGATGGAAATTCAACATGTATTGATACTTCCAAGATAAACATAAAATAGAAAAAAATAATAATCAAGAATTTCACAATAGCACATATTATCAACCTTTTTGGACGGATTGATGAGACAGATACCAACATTTTTCCGATAACCTTCCGGAGGAGCCTCCATGGACGATGAACAACAAGTGCGGGAGACTAGAGTTTTAGGTTGTTGGTGGCGGTGGGTAAGGTTAGTAAATTCGGAGGAACTAGAAGGGTATAGCGGGAAGAAGGAAGTGAGCTTGGAAGGAAGCTGAAGAGGAGGACGATGCAGGGGATGGGAATAAGAGTAGAGGGATCGGCATAAAGCCATTCCACGACGGCAACGTCTCTCCGGGCATCATTTTCCTGTTGTAGCTCCGAGTCCGTTTCAATTTACCAAAATAACCCTGTCCGAAAGAAAATTTTTTTCTCTTTCTTTTTTTTTTTTAAGGAAAAAGTTGGTAATTTATTGAAAAACAAACAGAGAAGTAATGTAGGAATCGTTTGAAAATGTTTATTGGTGTTTTAGTTTTCGATTTTTATATTTTTATTATTTTAAAAATATATAAAATATTAATTAAAATAAATAATAAATATATTAAATATATGTTATATATTTTTGAAACGTTAAAAAATAAAAAAAATTATAATTATAACTACAATATAATACTATCAAACTAAACTGTAATTTGTAATTTGTTCTCTGTAAATTATATTTCATTAAACCATTAATGAAAAATAAACCTTCACATATATATTTTTTTTACCAAAAGTTTTTACAAGTCGAATTACACTTTTATATACAGTTTAATCTATAAATTTATTAAAATACTCTTAATAAAATTATTTTTTATATTAAATAATTTCATTAATAATAATTTAACAATTTTAATATCTAAATTACACTTTTAAAATACCATCTAACTTTAATATATGAATCTCTTCTTCTTCTTCTTCTTTTTTATCTTGAAAAACAAAATTATATTTGCAATTTGGCATCTTGGATCTTGAAATTAGGACTTACTCAATATGTTTGGGCTTGGACATGAATTGGGATTAAGTACCCACTCTTTTTTCTTTGGCTAGATTAATTAAAATCATATATTTACTCATTTAATGTTACATTATATTGGTATAAATTATAATTAAGTATGACAACTTAAGATTTAATAGATATAGACAACTAAATTAAGATCAGAAAAGAAAAATTTTATCATTCTAACTCGCAATAAAATTGCTGGCTTTCACTTAATATTTTTTATATTTAAACTCGAACTCGAAAGTTGCAAATTTTACCAAGAAAAAGATAATAATATGAGTTGTAGCATTGACGCTAAGAGTAGAGAACAATTGTACAAAAGAATCCTACCACCTTTTATCATCTCTCTACTCATTACATGCAACTGGCAGTTACATTTTGCCCTATATATTTCTCTCCGTCCTCCTCATTGCACCATCAAACAAAAAGTCCAAAACCCTCTTTCATTAGTCTTCTTTGTATGTCCTTTCTTCCCTACTTCCTTTTTCTCAACTATGGAGATTCCCCCTAACTTAGAAGATGGAGAATATTGGTTGCCTTCTGATCTCCTCCAAGAAATACTTTACCCCTCTATGCATGTTGTTGTTGAGCCTGAAAGTCTTCCAACTAGATCTTCGCCTAAAATTGACACCAGCATTGAGGTTCCAAAATTTTTCTTCAGTTTCTTGATTGCTTTAGATTTCATAACTGAACATGGTAGATTTATATATATCTCCTAATTAATTTTTTCACCTAACTGATTTCTTTGTTTAGCCATAAGAGGAAATGAGGGTTGTGATTGCCTTCATGATTTTGATTTATATGAGTTTTGTTTTTTCAATTCTCCTGAATTATATAATCTAGGATTTGGCAAACAAGCTACAAAATCATATCGGTTCTTTTGCTGCAAAGCCAGACTGGAATGGTTTCTCTTGGTATGGTGAATTTGATACTCCAGAAGGACCAGAACTCACTCACCCACAGAACCTAATCCCACCAACCCAAAATCAGGTAAAAAAATTTCTCAAAAACAACAAACCCTAGATCATTTAATTAATTTTCCAATTTCACAACATGCGATTTACTTACCCTAGGAAACTCTCTTTAAATCCTTCCTCTATTCTCTTTGATATACATTAGGATTTTGAGAGAACTGTAGGAGCTATGGTTTTTCTAGAAAAACCAGAAGGGACTGGAGTTTTTCTCCCTCGCGCTACATGTTCAAGCTCTATCAAGGAATTTGAAAATCAAACTGGAAGGACTAGTATTTTTCTTTCCAACAAGAAGAACAAGATATGTAAGTCTGCATTGACTCAAATTTTAGATGAGTTGTGACTTTTAGCATAATATTACTCTGCTTATTATCTTTCCAACTTATGGATACCTATTTTGAATTACTACTAATTAAAACTTACTATGATTTGCTGTCTAGCACACTACACTTGAAACCGCCCATTCATGGCATTTATTTTTTGGTATTAATATTTTGGCCACATGTATATATATATATGCACACATCTTTTTTTCGGTTACCTTAGGTGACATGGCAATGATTGTCGATGCCACGTGATACAATGTGGTTATTGTCACTATAAAAAATATTAAGTTTATTAATTTTATAATTTTTTTCTTAAATAATGTTCAAAAATATCTATGTGTTGACTGATATTAATTTATTAACTAATAAAAATCAATTATTTTATTAATTATTAGTTAATAATTACAATTATTAATCATTTTATCAATCAAATTAAACAAAATTAATATTTTTTAAAGACATTATTTTATAATTTTTGGTGACCTAACATTTTGAGTGGTGACCATAACCCCCCTCAACCTAATATCATGTGGCATTTCCTTAAATAATTATTTTAGACTTTATTTGAAACTGTTTTAATTTTATATAAATGTATTTGAATTAAAATATATAAAATATTAATTAAAATAAATGTGAAGTATATTTTTTATATTAAAAACCAAAACACTTACCATTATACTTACGATGTAACCTTCTCAAATGAAGCCTTAAATTATAGTGAGATACTTATATGAAATGATGCTTCTTTTAAATAAGGTGCTTTTATAATTACCATGTGCCTTCTTTTTTATTACGATGGATTAAGTTGCCATCAATTTATGAATAAAAAAAAGTTACAATCAATTTAAAGAAGAAGGTTGGTGAAAGAAACTAATTTAAAAGAATAAATTAAATGATAATGATTAGTATAATTTTTTATTCAATAC